ATTCTCATTCAAAGGTTGACAGAAATAGGCCTGGATCAGGCTTTTTGCAAGTGGTTTGAGAATTATTTGTCTGACAGGACTTGCCTAACTTTGTTGCTAAAGTATAAAAGAATGAGCTACCAAACCTGCTCGCAGGTCCCTCTGGTCTCGACCAATTTAGGTAAATCCTCCTTTAGTTTTTAGAGACCCTCATTGTTGGAATAACCTGCAAAATTCCTTGCATCTTGATTCCCTGGTGCCACTACGGCAGTTTAGGACTCTGGAGTTACATTAATTCATAGAGGTTTGCAGTTGTTTTGATTGATTGTAATGGTTTATTTGTTGAAATATTTGTATTGAAAATGTAACTTGTCATTTTTTAAAATTCTTCTTGTTTATTTTGGAACGTTCATTTTTCTTGATTGTGAAAATGTTTGTACTCAGGGTACCATTATGAATGAGACCCTGGTCTTAATTGGGCTCCCCTGAATAAAGTAAAAGTTACATAAAATATATAAATAGTCCATTGGCAACAATGATTGAGCAATAAAGGAGGACTATAAAATATCAACACAATTTATGATCATATAACCTATAACTATAGGCATATGGCAAAACATATCAAGATTTGTTGCTGTTATCTTCATTATGAAGACAAAAAAAGCACAGCGATTTTCATAAACTTCAGACAGTTTTAACGTAGTGCTCATTCCACTGCTATAAACAAAAGTGATAAACAAGAGAGGGTGATATCATATTGCCAACCTCTGTTCAGCAATACAAGATGACAACCATTACACACATGTGTTAGGCCTGTTGTTGTTGTACTCAGGACCCCCTCTCCAAGCCACAGTGTTCAGTCAGTCAGTCCAGCCAGGCCAGCTCTGCTCTGGGCTGTTTGGATAACTTAATGAGGGGGGAGGGGGATGTCTAGCCACACTGCGCCATCCCAGACAATAAGTATTATGGCCAATCCTGTCAATCCGAGGGAAAGCCAGGCAACTACATCACTAGACCCTCTCCATTGCCAGACTACCAGACTTCAGAGCAGAGGTTTACTAAGACAAATATAACATTGGAGTAGCTCCTGGATGGCACATCTATACATTTGAGATTTCAGGAGGTAATCTCCATGCTGCTGCAACACACTCAGGATGCCCGGGCTCTCATGTCCAGGGCTCTGCCCCATGTGTGTGTGTGTTTGTGTGTGTGTGTGTGCCCCCTTCCCACACCACCGTTGTCCAAGGTGAGTGGGGTCGGGTTGGTTGCCCTGACTGCAGTTTAAATGGTCATCTGTGTGTAATGTAATCTGTGGTCAGGGCTGCCTAGGCACAATGCTGCTGTTGTAGTGGTGGCCCAACAGGGTAACCCTCCCAGCAGTCTTTATGGCAGGCAACAGGTGTGAGGACAGACACCCGCCTGTCAGTCTAGCCAAACACTAGGTCAGCACTCCTGTCCTGACTTTGTTTATAGTGTTTGTTGTACGACAGTGTGTGTGAGGGGGGATGTACACTACAGCGCCAAAAGTATGTGGACATCCCTTCAAATTAGTGGATTTGGCTATTTCAGCCACACCTGTTGCTGACAGGTGTATAAAATCGAGCACACAGCCATGCATCTCCATAGACAAACATTGGCAGTAGAATGGCCCATACTGAAGAGCTCAGTGACTTTCAACGTGGCACCGCCATAGGATGCCAGCTTTCCAACAAGTCAGTTCGTCAAATTTCTGCCCTGCTAGAGTTGCCCCGGTCAACTGTAAGTGCTGTTATTGTGAAGTGGAAATGTCTAGGAGCAACAAAGGCTCAGCCTCGAAGTGGTAGGCCACACAAGCTCACAGAATGGGACCACTGAGTGCTGAAGCGTGTAAAAATCGTCTGTCCTCGGTTGCAACACTCACTACCGAGTTCCAAACTGCCTCTGGAAGTAACGTCAGCACAAGAACTGTTAGTAGGGAGCTTCATGAAATGTGTTTCCATGGCCAAGATCACCATGCGCAATGCCAAGCGTCGGCTGGAGTGGTGCAAAGCTCGCCGCCATTGGACTCTGGAGCAGTGGAAACGCGTTATCTGGAGCAATAAATCACACTTCACCATCTGGCAGTCCGATGGACGAATCTGGGTTTGGCGGATGCCAGGAAAACGCTACCTGCCCTAATGCATAGTGCCAATTGTAAAGTTTGGTGGAGGAAGAATAATGGTCTGGGGCTGTGTTTCATGGTTCGGGCTAAGCCCCTGAGTTCCAGTGAAGGAAAATCTTAAAGCAACAACATACAATGACATTCTAGACAATTCGGTGCTTCCAACTTTGTGGCAACAGTTTGGGGAAGACCCTTTCCTATTTCAGCATGACAATGCCCCCGTGCACAAAGCGAGGTCCATACAGAAATGGTTTGTCAAGATCATTATGGAAGAACTTGAGTGGCCTGCACAGAGCCCTGACCTCAACCCCATTGAACACCTTTGGGATGATTTGGAATACCGACTACGAGCCAGGCCTAATCGCCCAACATCAGTGCCCGACCTCACTAATGCTCTTGTGGCTGAATGGAAGCAAGTCCCCGAAGCAATGTTCCAACATCTAGTGGGAAGCTTTCCCAGAAGAGTGGAGGCTGTTATAATGGCCATGATTTTGGAATGAGATGTTCGACGAGCAGGTGTCCACATACCTTTGGCCATGTAGTGTGTGTGTGTGTGTGTGTGTGTGTGTGTGTGTGTGTGTGTGTGTGCTACAACAATCTTCATAAAGGAATATGTACAGTATTACTCCTTCTGTAAGAATAATTTGAGGTTAGAGTAACCAACTTAAAACGATCCATAAGAAACAGTAAAGCTAGAGTAAGCAGAGATGAATGACAGATTACAAATAGGATGATGTATAGGAATGGTAAAATAGCTAATGAATACAGTAGATAACTACAAATAGTACATCTGGTCAGGTATGGGAAGTGTCATTCTTTTTAAGTAAGGCCCTGTGTTTGTAAACAGAGTTCAGCTGGACTTGAACGATGACACAAGTGTCCACATAGTGCCCTTGAGTGTCTGTTAACAGCTGCGTTCCAAACCAGTGTGTGAGCAGACCAAACAAACAGTGACAAAGAGGGGTGGGGGACCCTGCCGGGATGGAGGTCCAAGGACAATCCCCACCGGGGTCTGTAACAATAGAACATCACCATAGGAACGATTAAAGCAGTAGTTAAAACACGTAAATAAAACAGTTCCTTTTTCTATTTATAAGTTAGTATATAAGGACAAATTATAAAGTGTAATATACCCTTTAATCAAAATCATGCCATTCTATCTTTTTCATTCTATTCTTTCAGATTGATATAATTTACACTGATTCAAAGTATTTCCTGGAGGCCTTGGATACAGTATGTCAAAAACGACACCCTATTCCATATATAGTGCACTACTTTTAACCAGACCCCTATGGGCCCTAGTCAAAAGTATAGTGCAGTATATAGGGAATAGGAGGCCATTTGGGACAGCCCCTTGTCTCTTTCCTGGAGCGTGGCTGTAATTTGTTACACTTAAGTCCAGCCGTGGTGATTATCTGTGTGTCTCTGTGGGCCGTAGGGGTCATGGTCCTGTTGACCTCCAACCAGCCCTGAGACTGGGTGTTCCCCTTTCTTCCCTACTGGCCGAGCAGGTCCCAGAGGAGCGGCTAGCCCCACACGTCACTCATCAATTGTGAGAGGCAGCGGTGGCGACGGAGAGGAGGAGGAGGAGGAGGAGGGGGAAATGAGGGAGATGGGGGTGGAAGAGAGAAGAGGGGCAGGGGAGTCCCAGATGGAACATCATCTCTGTAACATGGGAAGATATGAATGCAGTCACATGTAAATGTGAAAGCGACATGTAAATACTATGGGGATCAAATTTTAATTGGGCCAGTGTCCAGGGGGTAGGGTCCTGGCACGTCTGGCTGATTATGGGTTGCTTCTGCCATTGTTATAAAAGCCAGGAACAACACAGCACTCAAAACAAAACATTTACATTGACTTTTTTGACTATTTTGCTGTCAAGAATAGGCTCCCTGTCAATTATTTATTTAAAGGGATAGTTCACTCAAATTACAAAATAATGTATTGCTTTCCTTACCCTGTAAGCGGTCTATGGACAAGGTATGATGAAATGCTTTGGTTTAGTTTACCTGCCACTGTTTTCTAGTCATGATACCTATATAAGCATTTTTTGTGCATCATGTCCAAAGCATCCTAAAGTATCTGAAATTGATTGTGTAGCTCAACAAAGTCACTTATATATAACTTGGACATTATGAATGAAGAAATTATAATATAGGTACCATGACATTTGGAAACAGTGCAAGGAAACTTGACCAAAGCATGGATTGCTGTCATACCTTGTCAATAGACTGTTTACAGGGTAAGGAATCCAATAATGCCATTTTGTAATTTGGGTGAACTATCCCTAAGCAAGTGATTCTATTCTATTCAATCCAAATGTTACCATTTTATTATATTCTGTTCTATTCTATTCTGACACACAATTGTGACGCACTGACCAACATCCCATCCCTTGAATCAAAATGAAGGATTTAGTAGAATGATAGTATGATAACAGTAGGCCTAGGCTACAATTTATTTGCATGCATTAGCCACTGCTCATGCTGACATGCTCCCTTTATAACAGAATGTTCACTCATCGTTGTTTAATTGTGGCCTACCGTTCGTAATTGACGTTGCTCTTCTACTTCATCTAGGGCGGTGTGTCGTTCACGCGCACCGGATGAACTCGAGAGGCTGAACGGGAAACGATTTCTCCGTTTCTATTATTATCCTACACTCCCGCAACCAAAGATTGTAAACAACACTTATAGTGTAAGTAGTTGTTTATATTAGAATATATTCATTAAGTATTACACATGCTATCACACGTTTATGTGTAGGTTTGGGGAGCAGAAAGTGTGTCGTTCAATCGAGATCAGTAGCCATCTACTTCATTTCAGTTGCGCAACAACGGTTGTTGTTACAATCTAACCATAGTCGGGACTTTTTGAATATGGCTGAACCAAGCGGCAAACGATTGAAGACCAACCTGCCTAACTGTAAAACTCACCGAGCATTTCTCGGGAGCAGGGTGAAACAGAATCTCCCAGCGGTCGTTGAGGAGAGTTTGTGCGGAGTATCGACATTGCTTATGGAGGTCGCTTACAGACTTGATGCACTGGTAAGGGCGACCCGACCATTCAGCAATAGGCTGTAAGTGCAAGTTACTTGTTTACAAAATTCTCTCAGGGAAAATTGGATGTGTTACAAATAAACGCTTTTCATGAAATGTAATGCATTGATTATAGAACAATGAATAGCCTAAATCACTACAGGAAATATGTTTTCCTTATCGATATGAGGTTCACCCATCTGTCATAGATTTGGCTGTCATTCTACAACATTGCATAACCTTCTAGTGTGTAGGCTACAAACGATGAATTCTACAAGTCTTTCTCTTATCATTGCCTTACTTATTTGATGAGTTGATTCAATTTACCAAGCAGCCTATGTTAAACACAATATACATAAAGTTGTATGCCACCCAATACAGTACGTGGATCACTCTCACTGGAGTTACTCTGTATGATTGACTCTTCCAGGCCAAGATATTTGAGCAGGATGACATTGCCTTGCCAAGAGTGGCAGCGTTCTTCCATGAGCACTCTGTGAATGAGCAGGCACAGGCTGAGGCCATGCTGGACTACCTGTCAGACAGAGGGGGACAGTACTGCAGTAAAGACATCCAGGTAAAGTTGCCAACTCATAGAAATAGAATGAACCTCCAGTACACCCATTATAGCATAATTGACCCGAATGGAGACGCCCATTCTACTCATTCTACTCATTCTAATTCTGTGTGCCCACTGCCAGGGGAGAGGGGATGGGTTCCTAACTCCAGGCACTAAAGCAGGGTTTATACTAGTTACACCAGCCACAAAGTCAAAATTAAATCGAAAACAGAAATGTGCTTTTTGGTCTCAATTTAAGGTTAGGCATAAGGTTAGCAGTGTGGTTACGGTAAGAATCAGATTTTAAGACGAAAAATAGTAGAAATAGTCAGGGTTCATGACTTTGTGGCTGTGGTAACTAGTGACGACCCCTAAAGCAGGGCATCAAATCAAATCAAATTATATTTGCCACATGCGCCGAATACAACAAGTGTAGACATTACCGTGAAATGCTTACTTACTGCCCTTAACCAACAATGCATTTATTTCTTAATTAAAAATTAAAATAAAACAACAACAACAAAAAAGTGTTGAGAAAAAAAGAGCAGAAGTAAAATAAAATAACAGTAGGGAGGCTATATACAGGGGGGTACCGGTGCAGAGTCAATGTGCGGGGGCACCGGCTAGTTGAGGTAGTTGAGGTAATATGTACATGTGGGTAGAGTTAAAGTGACTATGCATAAATAAATAACAGAGTAGCAGCAGCGTAAAAAGATGGGGTGGGGGTGCAAATAGTCCGGGTAGCCATGATTAGCTGTTCAGGAGTCTTTTGGCTTGGGGGTAGAAGCTGTTGAGAAGCCTTTTGGACCTAGACTTGGCGCTCCGGTACCGCTTGCAGTGCGGTAGCAGAGAGAACAGTCTATGACTAGGGTGGCTGGAGTCTTTGACAATTTTGAGGGCCTTCCTCTGACACCGCCTGGTATAGAGGTCCTGGATGGCAGGAAGCTTGGCCCCAGTGATGTACTGGGCCGTACGCACTACCCTCTGTAGTGCCTTGCGGTCGGAGGCCAAGCAGTTGCCATACCAGGCGGTGATGCAACCAGTCAGGATTATCCTTGATGGTGCAGCTGTATAACTTTTTGAGGATCTGAGGACCCATGCCAAATCTTTTCAGTCTCCTGAGGGGGAATAGGCTTTGTTGTGCCCTCGTCACGACTGTCTTGGTGTGTTTGGACCATGATAGTTCGTTGGTGATGTGGACACCAAGGAACTTGAAGCTCTCAACCTGTTCCACTACAGCCCCGTCGATGAGAATGGGGGCGTGCTCAGTCCTCTTTTTTTTCCTGTAGTCCACAATCATGTCCTTTGTCTTGGTCACGTTGAGGGAGAGGTTGTTATCCTGGCACCACACGGCCAGGTCTCTGACCTCCTCCCTATAGGCTGTCTCATCGTTGTCGGTGATCAGGTCTACCACTGTTGTGTCGTCGGCAAACTTAATGATGGTGTTGGAGACGTGCCTGGCCATGCAGTCATGGGTGAACAGGGAGTACAGGAGGGGACTGAGCACACACCCCTGAGGGGCCCCCGTGTTGAGGATCAGAGTGGCAGATGTGTTGTTAACTACCCTTACCACCTGGGGGTGGCCCGTCAGGAAGTCCAGGATCCAGTTGCAGAGGGAGGTGTTTAGTCCCAGGATCCTTAGCTTAGTGATGAGCTTTGAGGGCACTATGGTGTTGAACGCTGAGCTGTAGTCAATGAATAGCATTCTCACATAGGTGTTCCTCTTGTCCAGGTGGGAAAGGGCAGTGTGGAGTGCAATCGAGATTGCATCATCTGTGGATCTGTTGGGGCGGTATGCAAATTGGAGTGGGTCTAGGTTTTTTGGAATAATGGTGTTGATATGAGCCATGACCAGCCTTTCAAAGCACTTCATGGCTACAGACGTCAGTGCTACGGGTCGGTAGTCATTTAGGCAAGTTATCTTAGTGTTATTGGGCACAGGGACTATGGTGGTCTGCTTGAAACATGTTGGTATTACAGACTCAGTCAGGGACATGTTGAAAATGTCGGTGAAGACACTTGCCAGTTGGTCAGCACATGCTCGGAGTACACATCCTGGTAATCCGTCTGGCCCTGCGGCCTTGTGAATGTTGACCTGCTTAAAAGTCTTACTCACATCGGCTACGGAGAGCGTGATCACATAGTCATCCGGAACAGCTGGTGCTCTCATGCATGCTTCAGTGTTGCTTGCCTCGAAGAGAGCATAGAAGTGGTTTAGCTCGTCTGGTAGGCTTGTGTCACTGGGCAGCTCGCGGCTGTGCTTCCCTTTGTAGTCTGTAATAGTTTTCAAGCTCTGCCACATCCGACGAGCGTCAGAGCCGGTGTAGTACGACTCAATCTTAGTCCTGTATTGACTCTTTGCCTGTTTGATGGTTCGTCGGAGGGCATAGCGAGATTTCTTACACTATAAGCGTCCGGGTTAGAGTCCCGCTCCTTGAAAGCGGCAGCTCTACCCTTTAGCTCAGTGCGGATGTTGCCTGTAATCCATGGCTTCTGGTTGGGGTATGTACGTACGGTCACTGTGGGGACATGCATGCTGCCTAATAGTAGGCATTTTGTGTATCCGAAAATATGTTTTATAGTATTTGAAATTTCGAGAATGAAGTATGCTTTAAATGCCAGGATGTCATACTAATTTCGGCATTTCATCTAGTAGAATTCGCTGCACACTATTGAGGAAGAGAGTCTTCTTCAGATCCACGTGTGTTGGACAACAACTGATAATCAGCTGATAATGAGATAAGGGAATACACTGTACTCTGTAGCCTAGTATTAGTATGTTGGTATGTGTTGCTGCAGACATTTTTATTAAACAGTATGTTCTAAATAGTATGTAGTGTGATTAGTATGTGTGATTACACAGTATGCAGGTTTAGTAAGTAGTAGGCAAGACAAAGTTCGGCCACGGCCACTGTCTATGCTCAAAATATGTTCTCTTAAATTAAGCCCCACCCCCAGTCAAAATATAGTGCACCAGCACCATCACTAGCACTACCAATCAGTGGTGTGTATTCATGGATGCCAAGGGCAGCCAGGCTTCCCCAAAAATGTGACAAAACTAAAACAACAAAAATTGAACAATTTCTCTTTCATCTTTCTGTGTTTTCATAATTTTCTTTAAATAAGCAAGTGGCTGTATTTATCGCACCGAAAAAAAACATCAGAGATAGGGAAAAAGCGCCCCTCTGTCTCAGTATCTTTAGCCCATGTATCTGATGCTGTCTGGACAAAAAGAGTATGACATCTTGCTGCCATAGCATTTGATTGATTGATGCCAGCGAGCATTTGGCCTCTGTTGATAGAAATATATATAAAATAATTAGCCAATCAGCGTTGAGCTCAGCTCAACTGTGGGTGGACCTGTTGCAGCAAAACGCCCCCCAAGGGAGGCCAGTTTGGTTTGGCATCATACCAATCAAATCACATCAAAAGCAAAACGTCCTTGTCAGAATTGTTTTAATGTTTCTAGTCTTTTTGTGATGTGTTGTTGTCCTCCTGCAGTAGCTAGCTAGCTAAATCTGCCCTTCCTAAGCCATGTATGGAGATGGGGATTTGGACTTGGTGTTACTTAATTCTCTGTACAGGCCAATGATTATAACGGTGATTCTGATCTAACCATAAATTCATATATTGTGCCACTGTACTGATTGAAGTTCAATATTTAGCCTAGATGTAGTAGGCTCAAATTAACTAGCTAGCTAGCTAGCTAACTTAGCTGGTTCATTGTTGCCCATGTGAGGAAGTTAGACTAGCAAGCATTTTAGCTAGCTAGCGTAGTCTAGAACATTGCTGTGCGGTAGCAGAGAGAACACTCCTGGATGGCAGGGAGCTCGGCCCCAGTGATGTACTGGGCCGTAGGCACTACCCTCTCTAGTGCCTTGCGGACGGATGCCAAGCAGTTGCCATACCAAGCAGTGATGCAGCCAGTCAAGATGCTCTCAATGGTGCAGCTGTAGAACCTTTTGAGGATCTGAGGGCCCATGTCAAATATTTTCCGCCTCCTGAGGGGGAAGAGGTATTGTCGTGCCCCCTTCACGACTGTGTTGGTGTGTTTGGACCATGATAGATCCTTAGTGATGTCGACACAGAGGAACTTGAAGCTCTAGATGTAGCCTAGATGTAGTAGGCTCACGTTAACTAGCTAGCTAACTTAGCTGGTTCATCGTTGCCCATGCGAGGAAGTTAGGCTAGCAAGCATTTTAGCCAGCAAGTCTAGGACATCAAAAACTACAAGCATGTACTACTGTATGACAGTCATAGACCGTTTTGCCAACATGAAAGCGAGATGGATGCCATTGGCGTTCATCTAGTCTACAAGTGGGGTGAGTCAACAACATGTTTTTTCTAATTGTACCATGGAGAGCCACATGATATTTAGCAACGTCGACTACACTCAATTGTTTTTGGTATCTCTTAAGTTTGTTTTCACTGTATTAGACTAAGCATATACTGTTTATGTTGAAATGGTACTGACTTGCTGTGGTTCTAAATCAATAATTGTTTACTAAACTGTCAGAAACATTAACATGCTTGAGTATGTTGTAAACAACAGGTGAAAATGTTTGTTACATACAATATTTGCTTTGTGGACTTCACTGGATGTTGCTCTCCTGTTTTGTGATGAATCAAAAGGAACACCTATGTGAGAATGCTGTTCATTGACTACAGCTCAGCGTTCAACACCATAGTGCCCTCAAAGCTCATCACTAAGGTAAGGACCCTGGGACTAAACACCTTCCTCTGCAACTGGATCCTGGACTTCCTGACAGGCCGCCCCCAGGTGGTAGGCAACAACACATATGCCACGCTGATCCTCAACACGGGGACCCCTCAGGGGTGCGTGCTTAGTGTCCTCCTGTATTCCCTGTTCATCCATGACTGCGTGGCCAAGCACGACTCCAATAGCATCATTAAGTTTGCCGACGACACAACGGTGGTAGGCCTGATCACCGACAACGATGAGACAGCCTATAGGGAGGAAGTCAGAGACCTGGCAGTGTGGTGCCAGGACAACAACCTCAACGTGAGCAAGACAAAGGAGATGATTGTGGACTACAGGAAAAGGAAGACAGAGCACGCCCCCATTCTCATCGACGGGGCTGTAGTGGAGCAGGTTGAGAGCTTCAAGTTCCTTGGTGTCCACATCACCAACAAACTATCATGGTCCAAACACTCCAGGACAGTCATGAAGAGGGCATGACAACGCCTTTTCCCCCTCAGGAGACTGAAAAGATTTGGCATGGGTCCTCAGATCCTCAAAGAGTTATACAGCTGCACCATCAAGGAGAATCCTGACTGGTTGCATCACCACCTGGTATAGCAACTGCTTGGCCTCCGACCGCAAGGCGCTACAGAGGGTAGTGTGTACGGCCCAGTACATCACTTGGGCCAAGCTTCCTGCCATCCAGGACCTCTATACCAGGCAGTGTCAGAGGAAGGCCCTAAAAATTGCCTAAGACTCCAACCACCCTAGTCATAGACTGTTCTTTGCTACCACACGGCAAGTGGTACCGGAGTGCCAAGCCTATGTCCAAAAGGCTTCTTAACAGGTTCTACCCCCAAGCCATAAGACTGCTGAACAGCTAATCAAATGGCTAACCGGACTATTTGCATTAACCCCCTCCCCCCCATCCCCCCTTTTTTTACGCTGCTACTACTTGCTGTTCATTATCTATGCATAGTCACTTTACCCCTACCTATATATACATATTACCTCAATTACCTCGACTAACCTGTACCGCTGTACATTGACTCGGTACCGATACCTCCTGTATGTAGCCTCGTTATTGTTATTCTATTGTTACTCTTTTTTTAAAAACTTTAGTTAATGTAGTAAATATTTTCTTAACTCTAATTTTTCGTAAAACTGCATTGTTGGTTAAGGGCTTATAAGTAAGCATTTCATGATAAGGTCTACACATTTTACATTTACATTTTAGTCATTTAGCAGATGCTCTTATCCAGAGCGACTTACAGTTAGTGAGTGCATACATTTTTTCATACTGGCCCCCCTGTGGGAATCGAACCCACAACCCTGCCGTTGAAGCGCCATGCTCTACCAACTGAGCTACACGGGGCCACAAGTGTAGCTCAGTTGGTAGAGCATGGCGCTTGCAACACCAGGGTTGTGGGTTTGATTCCCACGGGGGGCCAGTATGAAAAAATTTATGCACTCACTAACTGTAAGTCGCTCTGGATAAGAGTGTCTACTAAAATGTAAATATAAATGTAAAAAGGTTTTTCTACATCTGTTGTATTTGGCACGTGACAAATACGATTTGATTTGATTTGAATCAAATATATCTGTGGTTGAATTTATTCCGCCACTGTGTGACTGTTGTGTTTTTGTTGTCTCGGCCTTATTGTATATCACGGTGGTGTATGAACGAATGGGTTATAGAGCAAACAACGCAATTATCACAACATACACTGAGTGTACAAAACATTAAGAACACCTTCCTAATATTGAGTTGCACCCCCCTCGTTTGCCCTCAGAACAGCCTCAATTCGTCAGGGCATGGACTCTACAAGGTGTCGAAAGCTTTACACATGGATGCTGGCCCATGTTGACTCCAATGCTTCCTTCCCAAAGTTGTGTTAAGTTGGCTGGATATCCTTTGTGTGGTGGACCATTCTTGATATAGACAGGAAACTGTTGAGCATTAAAAACCCAGCAGTGTTGCAGTTCTTGACACAAACCGGTGCGCCTGGCACCTACTACCATCCCCCTTTCAAAGGCATTTAAATATTTTGTCTTGCCCATTCACCCTCTGAATGGCACACATACACAATCCATCTTTAACCTGTCTCCTACCCTTCATCTACACTGATTAAAGTGGATTTAACAAGTGACATCAATAAGGGATCATAGCTTTCACCTCATCAGTCTATGTCATGGAAAGAGCAGGTGTTCTTAATGTTTTGTACACTCAGTGTAGGTTGTAATATGGCTTTTTTCCTGGCTTGGCTTCAATAGTGATTTTACCCACGCACCGCTACTGCCACAAATGCCCACTCAAATGCAACAGAATAATTTACATAAATATCACTTTCAGAAAGATTATGAATAGTCACATTATTTATGAACTAGGGCTGTTAGTTAGTTAATGAGTTAACTTTTTGTAATTTTAGTGCATTCATTTTTTCGTAATTAATCACATTGCCTGAAAGCTTTCAAAATACACAGAAAATATCCAAAATACATAATTAAGTGTGCTTTATCAATCTACCTGATTTTGCTAGCTGTTACTTTGGACAAAATCAAGATGTCAATATTCTTGTAATGTTTTTTGGATAAAGAAATCTTAAATTACAGCTCAATTTGAGCAAATTCTAAATTTGCAATTAATCGTGATTAATCACAGCAAATCCTGTGATTAACTCAATAATGTTTTTTATCATTTGACAGCCCTAGTATGAACATGATTTCACAAATAAGTATGATACACTTAGTAGCACTGACCAAATAGATAGAAAGGAGCTGCAAGTCCTTACTCTGCACTCTCCACTAATGCAACTATACAGTATATGAATGGTATAAAGCCTCAGACACACCAAGGATAGTGTACCGTACTTAGCAGCTCTGCCGAAAGTGTTAAAAATACTCCAGACCACAAGTTGGCAGTAGCTTTCTTAAGCTATTTTTTGGCTTGTGCCTGCTGTAGCTTGCTAATGTTAGGTAACTAGCAAGCTACGCTAATGTCAAAGATATTTATAACTAACCCAAGATAGACCACAGCCTGTCATTTCCAATGGGAACAAATTAGTCATAGTGGGCAGAACAAGCAAGGAGGGGGGGCAGAGCCAACCACGAGCTAGCGAGAGCCTATTGGCGCGTTCTAGCATGTATTTGCATATTTCTGTTAGGGAATGCCTACGGGAACTGCGTGTGTGCAATAACTCAATTTGCCCTTGCACTCCTTCTAAACAACACCATTTTTGGAAACTTTAGCAAAGGGTAAAGTCTACAAAACTTAGTTCACTTTGTTCGTAACAGATTCTTGTTTTGGGGACATAAAACTATATTGAGATCAAATGTTTTTTTTTGCAGAATGTCGGCCAAACTCCATCTTGTTCCATCTTCTCCCATTGCCGGGCACTGGGCTTCCTCTCACCACCATATTTGGTAGTGAGTGGAAACGGCAAGCAGATGCTTCACCTGGTGAAATATCTGTCTCATTGTTCTATCTGTGCTAATGTTGTTGCTAGTCAGATGGCCACAACTAGATAACTAGAGTAGCTAGCAACATTATAATTCAATCACAATGGATTCATTGTTTCATTAAGCAGCTGCCTGTTAGCTGCTGAGAGTCAGTGGAGTAGCTAGCTAGCAAGCTATGTTGTGCTAACTGGCAAATGTTGGTGCTAACTGTTTAGCAAACGTTAGCTAGCAAGCGAACTGGCACTGGCATTATGGAATAATGGAGAATTAATAAAATTATTTATTCATCATCTTGCTTGATAGCTAGCTTGGTAAAGCATTTAGTATTGTGTGCATTGTGCTGCACGTACCCCCCCATTCATTCCATATGAAGTGTGTGTGACTGCCTGGCTCAGTTAGCAAGCTAACGTTAGCTAGCTAGCTAGCTAATGAGCAAGTGCACATTATCAAACCTAACGAAAAAATCTTTCAAGCATAAAACTCCCTAGCTAGATGTAAAATATGTAAAGACTTGCTCTAGAAAAAAAAAAGTATTATGCAGCCTTATTGTTTTAGTTAGAACAATTCTAATGAAAAGGGTGTGGATTACACTGGGAAAAGTGCCCTATCTTTTTCCTTTTTCTTGTCTCTTCTGTTGGCTGTATGCTTTCTGATTGTCTCAAAGCCAAGTTGTCAGCCACTGACGAGCAGGGCGATTCTACAAGTAGAAACGGCAGGTTCTTCGGTACCAGGTCGGTACGTAGCAGGTACGTATTTTGTTCTTGCAAGAGAAAGAACGGCTTCCTATTGTGCTAAGTACCTATCGGCCGTCAGTTTTCTCGGTGTGTCTGACCTCTAACAATTAATGGCACGCTGCTCGTCAAGATGAATGGCAACCTTAATTCTTCCTAAAGTCCTTGTGTTGCAACGCAATGGAAGTACCTATAGGATCTGCTGCATACAGTGAGGGAAAAAAGTATTTGATCCCCTGCTGATTTTGTACGTTTGACCACTGACAAAGACATGATCAGTCTATAATTTTAATAGTAGGTTTATTTGAACAGTGAGAGACAGAATAACAACAAATAAATCCAGAAAAACGCATGTCAAAAATGTTATAAATTGATTTGCATTTTAATGAGGGAAATAAGTATTTGACCCCTCTGCAAAACATGACTTAGTACTTGGTGGCAAAACCCTTGTTGGCAATCACAGAGGTCAGACGTTTCTTGTAGTTGACCACCAGGTTTGCACACATCTCAGGAGGGATTTTGTCCCACTCCTCTTTGCAGATCTTCTCCAAGTCATTAAGGTTTCGAGGCTGACGTTTGGCAACTCAAACCTTCAGCTCCCTCCACAGATTTTCAATGGGATTAAGGTCTGGAGACTGGCTAGGCCACTCCAGGACCTTAATGTGCTTCTTCTTGAGCCACTCCTTTGTTGCCTTGGCCGTGTGTTTTGGGTCATTGTCATGCTGGAATACCCATCCACAACCCATTTTGAATGCCCTGGCTGAGGGAAGGAGGTTCTCACCCAAGATTTGATGGTACATCGTCCCTTTGATGCGGTGAAGTTGTCCTGTCCCCTTAGCAGAAAAACACCCCCAAAGCATAATGTTTCCACCTCCATGTTTGACGGTGGGGATGGTGTTCTTGGGGTCATAGGCAGCATTCCTCCTCCTCCAAACACGGCGAGTTGAGTTGATGCCAAAGAGCTCGATTTTGGTCTCATCTGACCACAACACTTTCACCCAGTTCTCCTCTGAATCATTCAGATGTTCATTGGAAAACTTCAGACGGGCCTGTATATGTGCTTTCTTGAGCAGGGGGACCTTGCGGGCGCTGCAGGATTTCAGTCCTTCACAGCGTAGTGTGTTACCAAATGTTTTCTTGGTGACTATGGTCCCAGCTGCCTTGAGATCATTGACAAGATCCTCCCGTGTAGTTCTGGGATGATTCCTCACCGTTTTCATGATCATTGCAACTCCACGAGGTGAGATCTTGCATGGAGCCCCAGGCTGAGGGAGATTGACAGTTATTTTGTGTTTCTTCCATTTGCGAATAATCTCACCAACTGTTGTCACCTTCTCACCAAGCTGCTTGGCGATGGTCTTGTAGCCCATTCCAGCCTTCTGTAGGTCTACAATCTTGTCCCTAACATCCTTGGAGAGCTCTTTGGTCTTGGCCATGGTGGAGAGTTTGGAATCTGATTGATTGATTGCTTCTGTGGACAGGTGTCTTTTATACAGGTAAGAAGCTGAGATTAGGAGCACTCCCTTTAAGAGTGTGCTCCTAATCTCAGTTTGTTACCTGTATAAAAGACACCTGGGAGCCAGAAATCTTTCTGATTGAGAGGGGGTCAAATACTTATTTCCCTCATTAAAATGCAAATCAATTTATAACATTTTTGACATGCGTTTTTCTGGATTTTTTTGTTGTTATTCTGTCTCTCACTGTTCAAATAAACCTACCATTAAAATGATAGACTGATTTCTTTGTCAGTGGGCAAACGTACAAAATCAGCAGGGGATCAAATACTTTTTTCCCTCACTGTACCTTTCAGAGATGGCGTTTTGGTTGGTGTTGGGGCTCCTTGGGGCTAGAGATAAGGGGTTGTGAGTGGACTGGACAGGATAGGGACGTTCGAGGCCAAGGGGGATGGGGGGTTAAACCCTAAACCTGGAGCTTTGCCTGGGGCTCAGGCCTAATGCCTGTCAGGGTGTACATTTCCCCTGAGTTCCGGAAAATTGGGGAGATTAATGTAGGCGGAAGGACAGTGCATTAATTGTGTTTCCAGATGTACGGGTGGCGTTGCCACTTTAGTTTTTCTTTCTGCCTCCAGTTTTACGAGTCATGTAAAATCGAACCTGTGTGGGACTGCTAAGGGGTCCATCATCAGCAATTTGGGACACCTTGTTATCCATTGATCAGTGAGGGCAAATGATATGTCCTGAACAAGTCTATTTGTCAGTTCTAATATTATTAAGATTTGTATTCAATTCTGCAATAATAGATAACTTTGCTTGAAGTTTGGAAAACAGTTGTCTTTAAGGCTTTTATTTGTTTTTTAAACAGTTTAGACAGATTCATTTTCATAAAGATTATAGTTAAAATAGGAGGGATATAATGTTTTCAGATTTTAAGAAACGATTAAAGTTACAATATGTAACTTTTTGGGTGACCCGACCAAATTCACATAGAAATGTGAGGTATACATCTGTCATGCGGTAGATCTGTTCTAAGTGCGCTATTTCTATGCTTCCCGTACATAAGTTTAGTTTTTGCGTATTTTACTTTCGGTTTTGTACACCAGCTTCAAACAACTGAATATACAAGGTTTTTGGGTATTGAAAAGATATTTCACAGCTGTTTCGATTGTACAATGATTCTCTACGCTACGCATTGCTTGTTTTGTCACATAAACTGAAATTAGGCTAACTATTAGAATTTTAGGAAATGGCAGAGCGATTTCCGCATATTGCACCTTTTTAAAGTACTATAATAAGTAAAAAATTAAAAATAAAGTTATCCTTCAATGCTGTCTATGTAACATTTTGGTTATTTAGCAGACGTTCTTATCCAGAGCGACTTACAGTCAGTGCATTCTAATGGCTCTCTTTCTGTCTGTGTGTGTGCTGTCTTTCTCCCCCAGAGGCCAGGCTGTGAGGAGGTGTGTGCAGTTATCCCAGCCCTGGAGCTGATGCTAGGCCAGTGGAAGGAGGAGATGGCCGTGATGGTGGAGCTCAGCCAGTTGTCCAAGGAGCACAGTGACCCGCACTCCGCCAGTGTTGTGAAGAGCCGCTTTCTGGGGCCGCTGGTGCCCCGCGTCAAACTGTTGGGAGACCTCCTGACCAACGCACGTAGGGTGGGCTGCACCAGTGACCGCTCGGGGGGCTTCGGGGAGTACCTCATCGACCAGCTGCAGGAGGAGTTGACCAACGTCTCCAGTGGATAAATCACTCACTCACTAGTTTCTATTAAAGAAAAGTACTTTGTGAGTTACTCTCAAAACAAGCCTCTCCTGTCCTGTCAGTGTTTTATGGCCACCTATATTGTGTTATTGCTAATCAGTAAGGCCAATGTATTGTAGAAGACACTCCCTAGTCCTACACAACTTTCTAGCTTTTTTAACTGAAAAAACAAGGGGCATAGTTTGAGGGGGTTACAACTAGCTTTATTCTGAACCAAGCTGTAGCACTTCTTCATCATTATTAAATTTGCATTTCTGCACAATTTTTTGTGGTGTTTGGTGGGACAAATTGATGGGATGTTTTTATATGTTCGAGAGGGGGCATGGTCTTGAATCTAGTATTTTAGGTTCTAGAGACTATCAAAAAGAATGAATACATGTATTATGCACTAGATCTGGGCATTTAAAAGGGCACAGCCTCATTGTATCATGTATGTAGTCCATAAGCAAAGTTGATCCTTGTTGTCATAAATGTGGTGTTGGATGAATTGAGAGAACAATGTGACAATCAAAGTTGAAGGCAAAGCACTTGGAATACTGTTAACATCTGGACTGACACACCGCGCAATGTTATATGGCTTATAATGTATTTCTGTATTCACTATTTTACAAAGAGGTCACTCTTTCATATGAAATTATGGGTTGATGTATAATGGGATATTGTTTGGGATTGGTCTCATCTGTACACTTTATGTTTCCACAAAACCTATTGCCTTTACCTACTATTCTGCTAAAATATACACTGTCCCTCTTCATCACATACAGTACAATGTTACAGCAATGTGTACCTTTTGAAATAAAGTTTTTGAAAAATTTCTGAGCAGTCTCTTTTTTTCTGTTTCAGAGTGTTTGATTTAACACTTTCATGTAATATTAGTGACTTCAGTGTCCTGACTGTCAAACTATTCTTATTGATTGTTGCAGGAGTTGCAGTATGAAAATGTATGCTCTCACTAACTGTAAGTAGCTCTGGATAAGAGCGTCTGCTAAATGACTAAAATGTAAATGTAAAATGAGTTTTGCATGGGATGCCAACACTGGTTTAATCAACTCACTATCGCCATCTAGTGATTCTCACCTATAACATTGTCAGGTTTTCAAGAGGTAGGCTTATTGTGGCATCATATTCTCCAATAGAAAAAAATATGTATATACACTTTAGATCACAGCAGAATTTACTTTAAGAATAATGTATGCACTAACTGTAAGTCGCTCTGGATAAGAGCGTCTGCTAAATGACGTAAATGTAAAATGTAAATGTGAAACAAACTGGTCTGCCTGATTAATTCTAAAGCAGCCTGCACATTGGATAATGAATATATCTGAGGGCTATAAATTAGAATAATAATTTGGTGGATGCTTCTATTTGTCCTGTTTCACAAATGTACATTATACACAAAAATCTCATATCCCAACTCCCCCTGAGACACCCTTGGAGAGTGGGGTCACGGCCAGGGTCAGCCATTATCAACAGCAACCCTTGAGCAATTAGGGTTAGGTGCCTTGCTCAAGGGCACATCAACAGATGTATTTATATTTTTTGGGGCTCTGGTAAAAGGACTATCAAACATTTTGGTTACTGGCTCAATGCTGCAACCGCTATAGGCTACCTGCCGCCGCCGAAAGTAATAGTGTGTGCAAGAGAATACGTAGTGATATCATAGGCCAACTTGGATTCAGAAACTCTTAGAAACTAATTGTTGTAAGATACATTTGAGCCAATAGGCTATATGGACATTAGAGAAACTTGTGAATAACAGAATGATAGATTTAGACAGGTTATGAGCTATATGACTTTGAAAATAATAGAATTAGCCTGCTTAATTTTTCCCAGAAGGAACTTCAGTCACAGTATAACGTTCTAGTAATAGGACTACATGGAATTATACCAATAATACAGCTAAGCACCAACATATTAAAATTGAATCTGTAAATTATATTTATGAAAAGTGAATTGATTGCTGTGATTAATTTTTCTCTAGTATCATTAGAGCTTCTTAAAATATCAGTATTATTGTATTCAAACGAATAATAGGCCTCGATCTCTGTTATTATAGGGACAGTTATGAGAAATTGTACACTAATTAGCGTGAAGTTATAAACCCCTCCCTATGCACCCACTCCGCGCGATCATTGGCTAATCCAGGGAGCTGTCAGAAATGCAGAGCACGCCCCTAACTCTAACGCCAAGAATATAAGTTTGTTCGTTCCACAGCATCAGCAAGAGTTAGCAGGGTGCATTAGGATAGAGATTGGGGAAAGATAACCACATTCCTACACTAAAATCTAACCGTCGTTTTAAGGATACTTGTACTTTTTGCCCAAAGTTTCTGTTAACCTCGAACGTTTGTGACAAATACAGAGCCAGGAGAATAATTGTTACAAAGTTGGTCTTGGAATTTGACAGTGAGATAGAGATGGAGTTGTCGGATATTTCGTTCCCTATCACCTCCACTGATGACTTTTATGATGACCCCTGCTTCAACACCAGCGACATGCATTTTTTCGAAGACATGGACCCCCGGCTAGTCCATGTGGGTCTCCTCAAGCCGGACGACCACCATCACAACGAAGACGAGCACATCAGGGCCCCAAGTGGGCACCACCAAGCCGGTAGGTGCCTCCTCTGGGCATGCAAAGCCTGCAAGAGGAAAACCACCAACACTGACCGGAGGAAGGCTGCTACCATGCGGGAGAGGAGGAGACTGGGCAAGGTCAACGACGCCTTCGAGAACCTGAAGAGATGCACGTCGAACAACCCCAACCAGAGGCTTCCAAAGGTGGAGATCCTGAGAAATGCCATCAGCTACATCGAGTCTCTGCAGTCTCTGCTCAGGGGCCAGGACGGCGAAAACTACTACCCCTTGCTGGAGCACTACAATGGGGACTCTGACGCATCCAGCCCACGGTCCAACTGCTCAGATGGAATGGTGAGTTCGTGCATGTTGACCTCAGTGTCTATGGGCATGTCCACAAAATTTCGGTCGTTTTTTATTACATAAAACATATATTTTCAGGTCTATATAAATACATTTAGTAGGTCTATTCCATTTTATTTGTATATATTATTTTATACATAGGTTTATAGTTTGAGATATTGATTTATAGGTCTATGGTTTGACATATCATTCCAAAAGTTGACAGAACACAACATGTGTTATTGTATTGCTCGAATTCTTAGATTTCATATTTTTTTTCTCCAGATGGACTATAATGCCCGGACGTGCACGTCCGCAAGACGAAGCAGCTATGACAGCTCTTATTTCACCGAGACTCCAAATGGTAAGTTATTATTTTAGTGTTATATTATTGTGACTTGTTATAGGCCCAGACTTTTATTATACGGTTTTAAAAGTACGTTTTCTTCAGCAGCTCTTCTTCAGTAGCCCAATGCTCAAGACTCAAGACAGACATTATTTGACATTTAGACAATGTTACTAGTTTATATTTTCTCTGATGTTTTCTTGACCTTTGTTGCAGCTGATGCCAGAAGCAACAAGAACGCTGTCATCTCCAGTTTGGATTGTCTTTCCAGCATCGTGGAGAGAATCTCAACAGACAAGTCCGCGTGCACTATGTTATCAGTTCAGGAGGGTAGCCCCTGCTCTCCCCAAGAGGGATCTATCCTGAGCGAGACAGGAGCAACCGTGCCGTCACCGACCAAGTGCCCACAGCCCTCCCATGACCCGGTCTACCAAGTGCTATGAAAATGAATCGATTCATGTAAATGAGGAAAACAACAAAAGGACAGGGTTGCAGAATGTTGCTGTAGTAGAAGGATAGAAAGGTTTAAATTCTTGGCATCCCATGGTCACGTTTTATAAGATATAATTTACCGATTTATTTATGTAAGTGTAATCGTATATGAAATATTTGACCACTTTCTTTCCCTTGCCATTTGTATTGTTTATGACAATACAGGACCATTTTTGTATAGGCCTATGTGTAAATAAGAGTTGATTAGTTTTTTTTTAAAGAAACGAAAAAAGGTTTTTAATGTATTTAATTTTGCCTGTTTATATTCAGGGGCGCTTGGTTTGTTTGTTGTGAGACATTTTTAACTTTATATTTATACATCTTAAAATTTGTGAAAGTCGTTCGATGTTATTATAAATAAATGACTATGACTATTTATACAAAACATGATTCATCATTTACTCTATTGCTTTGCCAAGATAACTGAATGTGTTTTGCCTGGCATATTTAACCTGAGGAACAAAGAATATAATGCAATATTGACATTCTAAAATATCTTCAAAATACTGAAGCATATTATACTGTATGAAGCATATTATATTATAATATTAGGCCTATTGTAAATTGGGCTATTTTTCGCGACTTATACTGGATCCACATAATGTACAAAATATATTAAAATGTTCACATCCATTTGATTACAAAATAAAACAAAATATAGGACGCAATAGTATATGATCAGATATAAATTATTTTTTATACTTAGTCCATGTCATAGGCCTATCATATGTAACGTTTCAACGCATGAACTATGGGAAGATTATAGTTTCTAAAATATTAATGTTTCTCCCAAACAGAAGACAACTGCATTGGTACCAATATATTTGTTGCTGTATCAAATTCAATTTCCCTGTAGGCCTATATATTAAGTAACACCTAACTTTACAAGACCCACACTACTCCTTTCCACAACAGCAGCAATTACAATTTCCAAGGGTACATCATGAGGTTGGAGTAAGATCTTTCAGATACAAAGGCCCAACTGACTGGAACAATTTACCTATAGAAATCAGGGTATTACAATCACACAGTGAATTTAACTAATAAAACATCAGCATGTGAAGATATTTGTAAATATGTATATATTATAGGTACTTCGTTTTTTTAGTTGTATTAGTAGATGTAGCAGTAGTTGTTAAAACATATTTTTTATCCTGTTAATGTACGTTTTTTATAATTATAATTATAATTATTTCATTGTTATTATTTATTGTAATGTTTTATTCGGGCACTATTGAAAACGAGAATGGTGCATCTCAAGAGATTTTATACTGCAAAATGTCAAATAAATAAATACAATTATAGGCTTTGGCCTAAATTAAACACATCTAATGACCCAAATTACCCACAGATAAGACATACACAGTTGCCATAAAATAATCTGTCTAAAACATTATTTTATATAAGAGAGAGTTCATTTAAGGGATATTAGGCCTATCAACTCAGGGCCAAATACTTCCTAGTGTGCGTGCAACTCCAACTGTTGCATAAATCATGCATCGATGTCAAATGGAGATTTACGCAAAAATCCATGTTATGCGCGCATGTTTCATACAAAACAAATGTTGTTTAGCAGTAACACATCATTTGAAATTATCACGAAGGTTTCCTCTTTTGCAATTCACAAAAATAAATAGACAGACAGTATAGGCCTAGTATGTAGGCTACAAAACTGTTTTATGCTCTCCATTCTATTATGACATTTACATATCTGTATTCGTGAATGAATTTCTAAAAGAAAACCCTACTCATATTTATATTAAATATGCACGCAACGAATAAAAGTAATTTACATGTATTTAAAATAAACCAAGAAAACTTGTTTTAATGATATCCCTAAAAAACGATTTTAACACATGCATGTTGTTCCGTGTCTGACATTTAACTATACAAATATAAATAGGTCTACAAAGCACAAACAACATTGGGCCCGATAAGGTCTATATTTTAAAGATTATAGCCAATAAGGATACATATAATTTGATGGAAAAGTATTATGAGCTGTGTTAACATAGTTGTTTTTGTTATTTCTTGTATTGTTCAAAAGTGAACGACAGTAAACATCTTGAACAGAAGTGAAAGGGAAAATAAGTCTGTGTTTTTTGGCTGACGAGTGTGCATAGTGAGTTGCTTGCCTCATGGGTCTAGAGGCCTACCCATACTATTATTAGTAGTAATTATATTTCCATGAGTAGGCCTACAATAATAAGTCAGGGCAGACAATAACATTTGAACAGAGAGAGCAGCAGCGTCATCACGAGTTCACATTGTGTACTGCAGTGCAGAAGCCCGGAGCAATTTTCAACTAGGCCAACAAGGCTACAGGGATGTTGCAAGATTGTCCATTTAAGCCTTCTCTAAAGAAACTACACTCTAAAATTAAAAGGTTCCTGGAATATCCTTTAGGGGTTCTTCAAATTGAAACTGTGGGGGAACCCCTATAAGTTCTTCAAATAACCATTTTTAATGGATCCTCGAAGAACCTTTTGAAGAACCTTTTGGGTTCTCCCCTATTATTAGTATTAATATGCATAACAATAACACAATATTTTAGTTGTCAGTGTTTATTATGATTTTAGTGGCAGAGCAGAATAAAAAAGTCAAAATATGAGGTAAACTCCCAGCAGAGCCCCAAGTCCAATGGGTATGTCCTCTGGCGTGTTGATGTTAATGTGTTGATGTTTTCCGTATCCATAGCCAGAATGATTTTGCAGTGCATGGTGATCGAACAGGTTTCCTGTTATATACATCAGAGGTGTAGGGCGGGTGAAGTCTGTGAATCCAAAAAATAGTAATTATACCGATGTTTAACAAAACATGCACACAACAGTTAATGTGTTGATGTGTTGATACCTTGGTTTTTGTGGTAAATGTGAATGAAAAAAACTGTTTTGATAATGTTTTTCATGCACATACCTTGTCCATAATGTAGAGGCCTATGGGATTTTCATTGAAGAGGTAAGGGAGGAGGATGGTACATGTGATCTGCATAACGTACCAATATCAATTGACATACCTTTGTCTGTATACCTGCAGACATAGACACAAAAGTGAGCAGTTCAGTCATCTGCACCCAATACAGCTAGCCTTCAACATATTCTTATAGCCAACATATTCTTACCTCTTTGTTGAGTGATATCCATTGAATTGTGTCCATTTTCTGTTTTAGAAGATTTGCACAAACATGAAAAGGTAGACGGTATCATTATAAAACAATATCAATTTAGATCATATAAGGGACAAACCTTACTTGAAATTGAGGAGATCTTTACATTTTTCAGTTAAGTGCCTGCACATGCTGTCCTTTCAAATTCAAATCCAAATGTTTCAGTTGGGCAGTTAGGTTCTTGCAAGAACCCCCACCTCCTATGGGGTTCTTGGAAGAACCTTTTGGGGGCAATTTTCAGTGCCAAGAACCCTAAGGTTCTTCGAAGAACTTTGAGGATCTTAGAAGAACCCTTGTTGGACCCCTAATCTTTAGAGTGTAGACCCATAGCACTCTCAGTTGTATAACAATAGACCAGTAGGCAACTCACTATGGCGGGCTGGCGGCACAATCTAATGGTGTCGCGCTCTTCTGAGAGAGGAACAGTTGGCTGGCTGTAACCAATGATTTATATATTAACTAGATTACTTATTCTTCATTCTTCTTCATGATTGGCTGATCCCTCCTGATGACTTGGTTGGACATGACTCCTACACCAGGAGGGATCTGCCAATTAAGTTGGAAGTCCCACCCAGTTGACTACATTAAAATGGTGGAAGCCCTCAATGGCGCTGTCCATGATAATACGACCTTTTGGCCACTACACTAGAGCCCTCTATCACTCCCTATGGTTGAAGCCACCATGCCTCCGTCTTGGCACTCCCCCACCATTGTACAACATATTTAGGAAGAAATGCATTTATTAATGTCTACATTCGTTGTTGCCACATTTCTTGTACTACAGACAACTTAATGCATTCTTTTAAATGATATTAGGTGAGCTAAACATAAAAATTAAAATTTAAAAAAGTAACAAATGTTGTTCCTTAAAGTAAAAAAAAAAATAAATTACGAATGTTACTGTCCCCACTACAACAACAACAAAAATACTTAAAACATTTAATTATGTCCTTGAAATATTTAATTGAAATACTGTAGAATTCCATTCATTCATATGGAGGAATGCTCCTACTGGGGAGAGACAATACGGCGACCGGTGCTTCAAAGCCTCTCAATGGCAGTGGTGTAAAGTACTTAAGTAAAATTACTTTAAAGTACTACTTAAGTAGTTTTTTTTGGGGTATCTTTACTTTTCTTTAATATTTATATTTTTGACTACTTTTGCTTTTACTTCACTACATTCCTAAAGAAAATAATGTACTTTTTACTGGATACATTTTCCCTGACACCCAAAAGTTCTCATTACATTTTGAATGCTTAGCAGGACAGGAAAATGGTCCAATTCACGCACTTATCAAGAGAACAACCCTGGTCATCCCTACTGCCTCTGATCTGGCGGACTCACTAAACACAAATGCTTCCTTTGTAAATTATGTCTGAGTGTTGAAGTGTGCTTGATATAAGGAATTCGAAATGATTTATACTTTTACTTTTAATACTTAAGTATATTTTAGCAATTACATTGACTTTTGATATTGAGTATATTTGAGTATATTTTAAACCAAATACCTTAACATTTTACTAAAGTATTATTTTACTGGGTGACTTTCACTTTTACTTCAGTCATTTTCTATTGAGGTATCTTTACTTTTACTTAAGTATAACAATTGGATAATTTTTCCATCACTGCTCAATGACAATAAATAGTAGCATCAGCAATCCAGGGTTTAAACCATTGGCTGTAACCTCATCCCCAGGCTAATTGAGGTCTTGGCTGTCTGAGCCGAGCGCCTTCGACTTGCAGCGGTGATTAGGCACTTGTAGTTGTGTGGAGTAAAAATGAACTACCTAAAAGGTCTGTAATTAAATACAAATTGTGTTAAAAGCTCGGTTTGTAAGCTAGGCTACACAGAATGCATCACAATGTCGCCCAAACCATAGGGATAGGCTACTGGGCCTAGGCAAGGGGTTCCCAAACTTTTTCGGCCCACGACCTCATTTTGATATCTGAAAATTCTCGCAACCCCAACCATGTGAAAAAATATATGTCGCCTAATTAACAGCCAATGGGCTGTGGCAGTCAATTGAAAAACATTCTAACATTTTCCTGGGTGACTTTCCCTTTTACTTGAGTAATTTCCTATTAAATTATCTTTACTTTTATTCAAGTATGACAATTGAGTACTTTTTCCACCACTTCAACTGGGACCTCGGAAAAAGACAAGGTCAAATCATGATGTCAGGGATCTTCAGGTCGGAAAGTCAG